TCCTTGGCTACTCCCTTGAATCCCCCTGTCTGGTTTACCCGCGTATCCCTCACGTATCTCTCGCCGATCACCTGCCGTATGGTAACCGCGTGGCACGGTTACCGCCTCTCCCGTGGTTTGTCCGGGTGCGGATTGCTTATGAGGTGTCGGCCGCTCTGCTGTTCCTGCACCAGCAGCAGCCGCACCCGGTGCTCCATCGGGATCTCCGGCCGGCAAACATCGTCCTTTTCTGTGAGGAAAAGGCCGGGCAGGGGAAGGATGGAAGCGGGTGCGATGAAGGGGTGGTGGGAGAGAGGGGGGATGCTGGTATGACTCTAAGGGCCCCTTTGTGGTGGCCCAGGTTTCAGAGGGAGGATGGAGCAAAGGCTGCAACACCGGCAGAAGTCTCCGGTTCGAATCTTTCTGGGCGCAGGTTGGTGAGCAAGCTGGCTCGTGTTGGCTTCTCAGCTCTGAATCAGAACCAGAGGACTGGGAGGGCGAGAGTGGAAGATGTGGTTTTTCTGGATCCGGAATATCCAAGAACTGAGGAGCTGGTCCCGTCTTCTGACGTGTATGCGCTGGGAGTGGTGCTCATGCAGTTGCTGACTGGACGCAATGCCACGTCAGCGCTGAGCGTGGTGACTGGAGTGGTGGAAGGGAACAAGGAGCTGGAGGAAGTTTTGGATGAGGGGGCTGGGGGATGGCCTGCTGATGTGGCAATGGAGGTGGCTGATCTGGCAGCTAAGTGCACGGATATGAGGAGGTGCAAGAGACCCAGTTTGGCTGGAGAGGTGGTGCCCGTGCTGACAAAGATGCATGCTCTGGCCCTGGAGGTTGAGAACAAATGACCATAAAAGGCTTGGTACTTTTTCTTTCTATGCTTGTAAGAAATGTTTTCTCTGTGTACCTTTACTTTTTATAGTGAACAATAAAGTAGATATCATTTCCATGTTATGGTTTTTGCCCACTAGACAAAGCGAGCGTCCGTTATTAGTACCTAGAATATTTTCTCCCAGATAACTCACACTACCGCGTATACCCGCAGGTCTGTCAGAACGGTTGTGCTTCCCGCCAAAACGCCAGCCTTCCTTTCTCTCGAGCTCTCCGTTTCAAAATCTTCCCTCCCTCCCACACCGGACCAGACGGTCTGTCTGGCGTGGTGTGGCACCGATGTAGTTAGAACTCGTAGACCATTTTCCAGAATATTCATCCGTACTGCTAAGTAGCGTGCAAATTTGGAAGCGATGCTGCTTAGTGATGGCTACTGCATCTCGCTAATTGTATTGCGCAATTATCTACTGCAGATGCAAGTAACTAGTGGGTCCACAGTCGACCGTACCGTTTTCTGCACAATACATCGTAGCTCTTACAATACACGATTAACAGCGACTAGAGCGGGAGTGTGGCCGTAGCAACCTCAAGCCACGATGCTTCCCCCCCGCTCTCAGTACGTAGGGCTTTGAGACGTCTCAAAACCAATCTTCATACATCAAGCAACGATGCTTCCCCCCCAGTCTCAGTACGCACGGCCACCAGGAGCGTCAGCGTCTTGATCGTCGCGTGTCTTCTGATTATGGCAGCATAGCAGACATCCATAGATCGCCGTGCTGCAACATTGAGATTTCTCCCCGCATTGCGTGTCCGTCGTTCCTCACAACGTACCACGAGTTGCTTTTGGCGAAAACCTCAGCATGTGGTTACCGTGGCAAAAATCGCGTCCTGCTCGAAATTCCACAGAATCCCTAGCAGAGCAAGGCCCGGATGGATTGTTCGAGGCAAAAAACACCACCGGCGGATCCCAGAGGGATAACATCCCAAAGCGGAACAGAAGGCGCAGCAGCATCAGCAGCGGTATGGGCTTCAGTGGAGGAATTTTCAGCGGCCGGCGGTTCTGGATTTCTGGAGAAGGAAGGAGAACAGACGGTAGGAGAGGAGACGGAATGACAGGAGACGAAGTGAGAAGAGTTGATCTTAGAGAAAGCGGAATGAGTACGAAACCAGTTGTGAACTCTGCCTCTGTCGATGACCTCCCTGTACAGATGGGACCCTGTAGCGTTGTTCTTTCAGAGACTGGATGCTCTGCGATGCAGAATCGTTCTGAGCACCATGAGAATCAGAAGAAACAGCCGCATCAAAAGGAACTGAAGCATCGAAAGCATCATGAGCGTCGGCAGGAAAACGTAGAGTCGGCTGAAAATAGACACTGGACGCAGCTGCTTCATAAGGATTTTCCAGATTCCAAAGACGCCGAGGACGGGAAAGAAAATGATGATTCTAAAGGGAACGGAATGAGAGGAGACGGGACCAGCAAATTCGCGGCTTGGGATGGCTCTGGCGGTCTGTTCAGCTGTAGTCAGCAGGAGCCGTATCTCGTCCAGGAGAGAGGGGTGCTTGGAAAAAGCAATGGCTTGAGGGCGAATCCCCAAGCAACACTTTCTGAAACTGGTAACCTCACTATTCTGCCACGCAACTTCTTCAACGTGTCGACAGCACCTGAGGGAAAGGAGAGACTGACAAGTCCATCCTCTGACCGCATTGCATCATCAGTGCCAGGTCGTGAGCCACCTCAAAAGACGTTGAGTCCGCCCCCTGGCTGCATTCCATCATCAGTACCAAGTCCCAGAGGCGTTATGGAACTCCGTCCCATTCCATCCGTTCCACCTGTTTCATCCTCTGCCTGTGAGCCGGCTACTATCAGTGACTGTGTCCCCACAGCGCCAGACCCACTGGCGGAATATCTTAATTTAGCTTCGGAAAAGCCCAGTCAGAAAATCAAGAGGATTAACCAGTGCGTGTCAGAGGGGCCTGGTGGGAGAAATATGTTTGAAGCACCCAGGGTGTTTCGAGGGAATCCGGTTTCGTGTTCGAACCACGTGTCGCAACCTGATTGGCTGTCAGCTTCTGCGGGGTATTGGGAGAGCTCATGTGTTGGTGGCGGTTGTGGTGGTGGGAATGTGGAGGGGGGGAAGTATGAGGAAGAAAAGGAGGAGGAAGACGATGATGGGGAAGAGGAGGTGAATAGCAGCATGACTTGGACCCGGGGTGGAAGGGCAAGTGGCAAGCCAAGACAGGTGAGTAACGCCCCGTTGTGCCTCAAGTGCAGCTTTGTCACACATTTTTCACACAATGCTGCCGTCACTCAGTTTACCTGTTGCTGACACCATGCTTTTCTTCTGCTGTCTTGACTCTCTAGCCTCCCTCCATCCGTCGTCCTGTCCCCACATCCCACTCCTCTCTCCCCCTCCCTCCTCTTTCTTGCGGCCCCTTCCCTCCCTCCTCGAAATGCGTGTACAGAAAGCGAGAAGACCTCTTATGATGAGGGCAGTTGTGAAAGGTGAGTGTGCATTGAAGCAGGGTGAAAGGTGAGGGTGCCTGTGCAACTTGATTGGATGTTCATCCCCCCTTCACATGCCCTGTCGCATCGCATTTCCCTTTCTCACACGTTCCTCTCGGTCATTTCCATCACTCTCACTGCTCCCCCCTTCCATCACAGATGGCAAGGAGCAGCCTTCAGTCAGCATCTCTGCATTGACTGGGTGGGCCCGCATTTCCCTCTCTTGCATTCCCCCCTCTCTTGCATTCTCTCATCTCTTGCATTTCCCTTACTCCCCCTCACTCTCACTGCTCCCCCCCTTACTGCCATCCCACAGAGGGCAGGGAGCAGCCTTCAGAGAGCAGCTCTGCAGTGAGTGGGTGGGACATGTACCCTCCACGTGGCAAAAGCTCATTGGCCCACTGGGGTCCTAAAAGGGTACTCCAGCCCCTGCTCCTCTCCTCTCCTCTCCTCTCCTCTCCTCTCCTCTCCTCTCCTCTCCTCTCCTCTCCTCTCCTCTCCTCCCCTTCTCCATCCATCCCCTTACCTTGCCTCTGTAACTGCTACATAACTGTCATTACAGTTCTTCACACCTCTCTAGTTCTGTTGTCTCCCTCTACCCCTACTCGCCCAGTTGCAATGCATGATCTCAATTTGCTGTCATTCTCTCACCCTCTCCATCCTATGCGCCCATCTTTCATAGTCCCATCCATATGTTGTATCTGTGTCACACATACCACACCCAACTTGATTGCTCCAGGTATATGTCGAATGTGCTTGTCCATGCAATACCTGCTAAAAATGTTCAACCTTATGCGTACCCCTTTGTGCATGTGAGTGTCTGTGTGTGTATCCTCGGTTGCTACAGTCAACTCCCCGTATCCGCCACGACCGTCGCAAGTGGGTGTACAGTCCAGATGAGGTGGCAGAGGATGAACGGATTGATCGAATTAGGTCGGTAACATCAACGAGCAGATGTAGTTCGATGGTGGCCGAAGTGGACTGAAGTTTGTACCCTCGTACTATGTGGTGTGCTGATTGCAACCTGATTGTTTTTGTTACTTCTTTTTCCATGAGCCTGCACTTTGCGTTGCATCCGAGTCTGGAGAAAGTTTCTATGGTAATGAATTTGTTTGGGGCCTCACCTTATCTTTGAACATATGTTATGTTCTCGCATCAGCAGCTGTCCTATTAACACGCCAAATGCACCCACTGCCAGGTAGCCTGAGATGGGATAGGACCAGAATACTATGTCAGCAGCAGCACGTAGGGTACATTCCTGTGGAGACACTTGTTTCTGAAACACTTTGTGACGCGCAAAGAATGCATATAACGTACTGTGTCACAAACGCGGACCACAGTAATGCGATCCTCACTGTATTTTGCATTAGTTGGCGTGAATTGCGCGGGTGTCGCGGACGAGTTACACGAGGCCCCGTCACCTCCTAAAAATCGCACGCGTGTCGAAATGTCACACTGTACAGCATGCACCTGAACGCCCGAAATGGGCAAATTTCGGGCGGGAAAGGAAACCGCTCTGCCCGGGCTGACAGCTGAGTGGTGGATGTAACCACATGGTCACATCCCTGCCATGCTGCGCAATCCGTTCCAACCAGGGTGACAACTCCCTCCCGTTCCATTCTATTCATGTACTCCAAACCCCAGCTCTCTACTTCGTGTTTCTTGCATTTTCTTCCACACCGTAGCCATGGCCCGTAAGCGCAAGAGCGTAGCTAGTAGTGCCGAGCTGTGCCCGCGGGATCTCAACGAGATCCCGTACATCGCTTGGATGAACAAGCAGATTGATGCCGGCCGTAAGCCCGCCGGCCCTTTGCCCGATGGTGCGCCGGGTGCGGGGGACACCTTGTTCAAAGCCCCGCGCGATGTCCCTACCCGTGGGCGCCGTGATGCCGACCGGGTTGCATCATCCCGCGTCGTTGAAGACGACGCATTCGATGACGATGCCGAGGACTCTGAGTACAACGACTGCGACGACGATGCGGACTCTAGCGAAGAGGAGGACAAGGGCATGCCCCCCTCCGGAGATGAAGACGATGCCGATGAGGACGCCGACGACGACGAGGACGTGCCCGACGAGGCCCAGCCTGCGACCCCGTCTCCCCGTCGCTCCCATGCTACTGCCGCGGCCGGAACCAATACTGCCGCGAAGGGCGGGGAACCTCCGCGTGCCGCTGCCAAGAACCGCAACCTGCACCCTGTCAAGCGGAGCGTGTGGTCCCACCGCGAGAGCACGATCTTCGTGGCGGCACGTTGGTTCATGAAGGACAAGCTCGGGAAACTCCTCGCGAAGCAGGGATCCCAGTACTAGGCCTGCCTCGCGCGCCATCTTGAACAGGAGAATCCCGGGTGGGTGCGCGGCGTGAATGCGCTGCAGAAGCAGTGGCGCAACCTCGTCAACATGTACAAGCAAATTAGTAAGGGGGAGCGGGCGAGCGGCAAGGGGGCGGTGTGCAAGCCCCCGTGGTACCCGTACATGGAGCTCTACCAGAACAACGAGGCGGTCGGCAACCCGCACGCCGTCGACGGTGGTGGCGCGGCACACGTCAACGTGCCGTGCGGGTTCGCGGTCCCGTCCACATCTGCACCTTGCACCTCGACCCCGACTTTCACGGGTGAGATTGCGTTGTTTCGACGGGTGTTTTGTTTGTGGTTGTGCATATCGAATATATTGTGTTACTCTTGTATCTTTCCGTTAACACGATTGTTCGCACCACACAGCTTCTAATGTTTACAATGCATCTCACATGTGCAGCTCCACCTCCGCAGGGTACGCCCACCTCCAAGCGCCCACGGGTGGCAGAGACGGCAACGATGGCCGCCGCCAAGCTGGTGTGTGAGACAATCAAGGGTTGCCACTCTGACGCGATGAACAGGCTCGAAGGCCTCGTCCGCGCATGGATGGAGCAGGACGCGCGGATTCCCCGCGAACACGTGCAGCAGCAGGCCCCATACCCGCCTGCCCGCGACGGCTTCCCCAGACACGCGGACAACATGCCCGCTGGCTCCGTCGCGGGCAGGCGGGCGACAACGCCTCTAACCCGGATGCGGGCGAGGAGGTGTGGGTTCGCGGCGCCGCCGAGTGAGGTAAGACGACTCCAGAGCCTCGCCCAGCCGCTTGCGCTCTTCTCGCAGATTCGCCTGCGTGTTCGGGTTGCATGGCTCCCACTTGAAATCAGCGACTGCGCCACGCGTCCACCACGGGTCCCGGTTTCGGGGCAAGTTTGCCCACGAAGCATTGACGCGCCTAACGGCCCCCATTGTCTCACACATATTGTGCAGGATGACGCCACAAGACGCCCCTGCAAGAATGCGTCAGAGCTTGCAATCATTGCGGCTCGCGAAAAAAGCCACCGGCCTTTGAAGGCGCCGATGCAGCGCTCTAATGCCATGCGCGTTGCGCTTTGGCAGTAGTTAAAGCACTGCTCCCAATCATCCATTAGGCCTTGACGGGATGCATGTAGGGGGATCAGACAGAAATCCTTGAGTGGGTAGGCTGCATCTCCCACTATTTGGTATGGCGCTATGTCGTCCTTGTGCAACCTTTCGTGTAGCGCGCTGTTCATGAACACCCTCTTATCGTGTGCACTGCCCGGGTATCCGATCAAATAGTCCCAAATGATTCCGCGGGCGTCGCATGTGAGCTGCAGCTGGACGGCGTAGCATGACTTGCGCGTGTAGTACTCCTGCATGTGCCCCTCCATCCCCTTCATGTGCACGTGTGTGCCGTCTATAGCCCCCACTACAGCAGGAACTCCTTTGATGGCGCGGAACTCCTCCGCCATCTCGTCGAGGTCGTCACGGGTCGGGAAGTGGGCCCACTGCTGCTTGAAGACGGAGGGGAAGTGCATGAGCAGAGCGTCAACAAGCATGTGGCACAGGGTCTTGGAGAGGCCGAAGACGGAAGACAAGTCCACGAACGACATGCCGGTGGCCAGGTATTTGATAGCGACCAGGCATGCCACTTCGTGGCTGATGAGATATCTGTCCACGTACGGCTGCATGTAGATTGCCATCCCGACTACAATGTAATCTAGGATGGCGCGGTTAATGCGGAACAAGTTTCTGAACTCGTCCTCCCCCATGCCTTCCAGGTCCTCTAGCAGCACGTGGTACCTCCTCCGGCGAAGCCCTGACCTTCTATTCCGCTCGGCTGTTCGGTTGGATCGGTGTGAGCTAGAGGCCGGGGACTCATCTTCCGTGAAGATGTTCGCCTCCAACAAACCTGCGACCGAATTGGCGACGGCGTCGAGGAAGATGCTGTAGTAGAACGTCACCCGTGCGACCAGAGGTCGCATGAGGAATGGCACCTCGCGAGGCTGTGCCATGGTTGCTAGAAGGAGTGGTGGATTGGGGTCTTTGATGCGTGTGTTTTTGTACTTGCTATAGTAGTTGAGTACATGCCTTTTTGTGTGTGTGGGTTGGTGCAAACCTCCCGACTCGACCAAATTGCAAGTTCCTCTACTCTGGCTAGCACGAGCGCGATCTGCGCTGCTGAATGATGTGTTTAGCCAAGATGTCCGGTGGGAAAACGCTGAGGGCCCGTACCTGTACATCGCAACCAATAGAAAGCGACCACCTGGACGTGCCCAACTGTCGCTCACAGTCGCGATACATTGGTTGTTTGTGACACAACATTTGGCAAATGTACAGGCGCGACTCGGGAAAACGGGGGTCCAGACAGAAGTGTCTCCACAGGAATGCACCCTTAAGGCATCCATCTAGTGGGATGTGCTGGAGTGACATCTAGTATTTGCTTCCGGGCTCCATCACGCAATAGCGAGTCGTTTCAAATTCAGTTCGATTTTTTTTTTTTTTTTTTGGTAGGTGAAATAGCATTATACAACGTACAACGCAAAACACCGTCGGTCCTAACCGGAGCTAGAGGGCATAGGTAGCGTTAGTGTCTACCGTACCCTCCCAGATTCCTATGGAGTCTTAAAAGTCAAATGCCTAAAAACTTTGTCTTGCCCGTTTGGGGCTTTCTTTGCAGAGTTGCCACATTTCAGATCTGGTAACCTGTGGACACTTCTTTGCCGCGTGGTTTTCTTCAGCCTTGATTGAGTCGCCACCACTGAGTGGTTGAGTGAGGTGGTTTCAGCAACCCGTGTTTTGACGTTGAAGCGGTAGAAAGTGGTAACAATAGCAGGTCTTTCCCGGCGAGCTTGCCACAAGAGAATTGCACGAAATCTTCTGGGCGTTTTCCGACGCCTATGAGGACCAGCTTCTACTGTCCTGGCTCTAGAGAGCACAGGAACTTCAGGAAAATCTTGCATCAATCCATGTCGTCCAGCAGTAATAAAATGTCAAAATGAGGAATGATGATGCCATTGATGTTGGTTGGGGTACATATAACAAAACCTAACTTCTGTACCCCCTAAGACAAACCTCACTACAAGCTACAACATTTGACACACCCCCATAGCCTAAGTGAGGGGTGTCTAGCAAAATAAAAAAGAGTACGGTCACAAGACCAGTCCAAAAGAAAACAAAGCTCAGGGTGGATCACAACGTCACCACACTCTCTGAGCACAAGCAACAGTGGCCACAAGGCCAGTCCAAGAGATCACAAGTATATATAGCAAGAGTACAGACGAAGCAGGCAATAAACTCAAGCCTACACATGACTAGAACCCGTGTCAACAAGGCCTAACTGCACACAACACCTCTGGTGGTCACGAGGCGGAAGCGCCTTGGTGAAGATGTCTGCAGTGTTGGCCTCGGACTCCACAAACTCGAAGCGAGCCTGTCCACGTCTCTGCAACTCTCGCAGAAGAAAGTACCTGACGTGAATGTGCTTCACTCTGCTCTCCAGTCGCGGCTCACGACAGAGGAGGATCGACGCCTTGTTGTCAGTGAACAAGGTCGGTGCAGAGCTCGGCCGCTCACCAAGGTCGGCGAGCAAGAAGGTCAACCAACACAACTCCTGTGCCGCCATGGCACCAGCGTAAATCTCAGCCTCAGCTGTAGAGGTCGAGACAGAAGAGGAGCGCGTGGAACGCCAGGAAACAGCTCTAGAACCCAGACTGAAACAGTACCCCTGAGTAGACCTGTGAGTCTCAGCGTCGTCAGCGTAAGAGGAGTCACAGTGACCAGTGAGTACGACAGACTGCTGCCCTCCAAGAACTAGCCCCACGCCTGATGTAGTCGCTAGGTACTTCGCCACCCTCACAGCTGCCGTCCAGTGAACAGGACGGTGTCTCCCTGGCGCAACAAAGCGCGCAAGGATGCTGAGAGGGAAGGCGAGGTCCGGGCGAGTACAAGTCATCAGGTACATGAGGCAACCCACAAGCTCTGCGTAGGGACCACTAGGCTCAAACGGCTCGTCAGGAAAGGGACCAGTGAGTCTGTGGTCAACAGCGAGAGGTGTGCGCTGTACGGTGGAGTGCTGAAGCCCGAACCGCTGAAGGACCTGTTGCACCATGTGTGACTGTGAGAGTGTAATGGTGCGAGCGCCTCTGTCCCTGGTGATCTGCAGGCCAAGGTAGTGGCGCAGCTCACCAAGATCAGTGCACGTGTGTCTCTTCTGCAGTTCGGACTTCACGTCTGCCAAAGCAACCCTGTCCGGAGTGGCGAAAACGAGGTCGTCGACGTAAACCGGAACAAAGAACGGTGTGGAGCCACGACGAACGAACAGCGACGGGTCGGCAGAAGACGGCTGGAACCCAAGGTCAGAGAGGGTAGAACGCAGAGTGTCGTGCCACTCACGAGGGGCCTGGGGAAGACCGTAAACAGGTCGCCTCAGCCTCCACTGGGTCCCAGGAGGGAAGGTGCCAGTGAAGGCCGAGGGACGACGCAACCAGACCTCCTCGTGTAGGCTGCCCTGAAGGAAAGCAGTGGAGAAGTCGAGAGAGTGTAACTCGTAGTCTCTCTGTGCTGCTACGTGTAGTAACACCCGAAGAGTGGTCATCTTCGGGGTAGGTGCGAAGGTCTGAAAGAAGTCAACTCCCTCGCGCTGACTGAAACCTCTAGCCACGTAGCGCGCCTTGAAGACCGGGGGAGATCCCGGTGGCCGCTTCACCCTGTAGATCCACATGCCGTCGACTACGTTCGCCCCAGGGGGGGGAACCTCATCGACGTAGGTGCCTGTGGATCTGTAGGAGGCCATCTCTGCGTCCATGGCAGCTGTCCACTGAGAGGCCCAAGGCCCTGACACTGCCTCAGCGTAAGTGCGAGGAGTCGGAATGTCAAGGGGGTCGGGGTCACCCTCAGGGGCGAGGAGCATGGCACAGAGATGAGGGGAAGCGGCCGCCAGGAACTCTAGCTCAAACTGCCTGTCCTCTAGGGCGTCACAGCCAAGGGCAGACACACCCCCGACGGCCAGAGGACTGGTAGGAGGAGCAGCCACAAGCGTGGTGGCGTAGTCAAGGCGGCGGGTAGAGGCAAAGTCAGTAACTGCGGCAGTAAGAGCGGACACAGAGGACACAGAGGCACGAGGGTGAGTAACAAGAGAGGCGAGAACACGAGAGAGAACAGGACGGTACGTGCGGTAGTAGTCAGTGACAAGAGTAGGGAGCGACACAGTGAGGGCCGACTCAGGAGGAGACGGAAGCACAGACTGAGACGGACGAGGTGGACTAGAAAGAAGGAAGGCAGTACGAAGGTCAGTGAAGGGAACAGGAGACGAGGGACGAGCACGAGGGGAGCGACGAGTAGCCCAAGAACAAGACGGAGGAGGAGAGGACAAAGGCGGAGAACTGGGGAAAACAGCGGGGGAGGAGTCAGGAGGAGGAAACGTGGGACCGTAGACAGGAGGAGAGGCGGAGGAGGGAGGAGAAGGGGAGGGGAGACCAAGGGTCCGAAGACCCGAGACAGGAGGAGGAAGTGGCTGCTGCTGCTGCTGCGGAAGCGGCTGCTGCTGGGACTGCTGCTCCTGCTGGTCCAGCTGCTGCTGCTGCTGCTGCTGCTCCTGCGGCTCCAGCTACTGCTGCTGCTCCTCCAGCCGCTGTAACTCCCTCTCCTCTCTCTCCAACGCCAGCTGCTCATCACGGGCACGGCGAACACGAGCCTGGTGCCTAGTCGGGTAGGGGTGGGGGGGCGGAGTAGTGTCCGAAGCAGCGGTAGCTCCAGAGTCCACCCCCGAAGAACCAGGCGCACCACCCCCAGAGGCAGCACTAACACCAGCTCCAGACCCAGGCTCACCAGAACCCGAAGGAGGCGCACTCTCACCCCCAGTGTCCGCGCGACCAGCACCAGCTCCTGGACGACAAGAGTCCTCTGCACCCACCGGGTCAGCTCCAACTCCAGAACCAGAAACTCCAGCTCCAACTCCAGCTCCAACCCCAGCACCCCCAGAACCAGAAACTCCAGTGCCAACTCCAGCTCCAACTCCAGCTCCAACTCCAGCTCCAACTCCACCACCCCCAGAACCAGAAACCGGTACAAGAACAGGCGCAGCACCAACCTCTCGAGAGCTAGCACCTGCGGCACGCTGCGAGGAGGACTGTGGGGAGGGAGGCTGTACCGGAGAGGCTACCAAAGGAGGAGGGGTAGCCTGGGACACACCCGACGGGGCTGGACCAGGGGGGGGAGGCTGTACCGGGGGAACAGGAGGGGGAGCGGCAGTTAGGAAGAGGGGGGGAGGAGGAACCTGGAGACCTCGACTGGGGTACCTGACGTAGTACGGAGTGGACTCCTCGAAACGGACGTCACGGGAGTCAAAGAACCGGTGAGAGGGAGGGTGGTAAAAGGTGAAGTCAGAGGAGTCCTCAGGGAAACCAAGGAAGACACAGGGGACGGCACGAGGCGAGAGCTTGTTCGCGGAGGTGTCGCGGACAAGAGCCAAGCACCCCCAGACACGAAACCGCGACGCAACACCAGGGGACCCTGTCCAAAGACTGGTCGGTGAAACCTCTGGTCGAGAGACACGTGGCCAGAGGTTCAGCTGGTGCGCGGCGTACCTGACCGCGTAGGGCCACAGAAAATGGGGGGCACAGGCGTGAGTCAGGGAGGTGCGGGCGATCTCCATGACCAGGCCTATGCGGCGCTCAGCAACCCCATTCTGCTGTGGAAACTCTGGAAGCGTCCAGGACTGACGAATGCCCTGCTCGCGACAGAATCCAGCGAGAATGCCGGAGCGAAACTCACCCCCACGGTCGGAGTGGAGGCAGCTGACACGACGACCACGAGTGTCCTCGGTGGTGAGCAACCACCTGATCAGCGTAGAAGTCACCTCAGACTTCTTCGCCAGAGGGAACACTGTGGTGTAGCGGGAGAAGTCGTCAACGACCACCAGAAAGTAGCGCTCACGCTTGTCAAACATCATACATGTTATGCTTGTGTAGGCTACAGTGGGTTA